CCTTATATTAGCGGCCCTCGCGCTTGACTGTCAAGGGCACCAAAATGAAGCTAAGAGCAACCAGCAGATCATGGACCCAACTACGTCAAAAAGCAACTAACACAAGCCAACAGCTCCACGTACCTCTTTTGCTGTCTGTGGACAAAGCAAATTGAATCCAATTATGAGGCAATAGCACGAGTGCCTCTATTTCGAATGCTTAATCACTTCATTTTTGTGGTGGCAGCAGTTGACTAACCAGAATTATTGTTATTGATGTGGTGTTTCGCTCTCCAACATCAGCCACCACGGCTAGGCGAATTTGAGGTGGGAAGGGAGAAAAGGACACCATCCCTTAGGCATGATTGGGATGCCTCTCGTCCTCGAGGACGGATGGCGTTCGATAGGCCACTAGTTTTGCCCGTGTTGGCCGCCTTCCCCAGACATTGTGGTCCTCAATGCATATGGCGTGAGAATGAAATGAAAGATTTCATGTTGGAAAGGCCTATTTTCTTTTATTTTGCTTAGTTACTTTGCATTTGAGTTCTTGACTTCCTAAAGGGAAAATCAAGGTTTCTAACTGATGATAGCCAGCAAATTGGGACAATTTTTCTGAACTGTTGACGTTCGTCAATTAACTAGAAGGTAAGTGGCTTAAAAGGAGACTATGCGAAATAAGAGTGCTCGCTGGAGTGTGGAATGACCTTGCAGAAGGAAATCACCATTACGCCAAACTATTATGAAACGAAATGGATGATAAACAACAAAAACTACGTTGAAGAAAATGCAGTTGAAAACTTTCTAGATGAAAACGCCAAACCACACTTGCGAAAGCACATCATTTCAGTGACGTCAGCACTGAAAGCATTTTGCTAAAGTTTTACTTATTCCACCATCTTTTATTGGAACCTGCATTTTTCTGCAAGCCATGTAATGCGGTTTTAGACTTGCTGTTTCGTGAGCCCGCTGGGTTCCAGCCTCGAGAGGAACAAAGGGAAAAGGGTACTAAAAAGGAGTTGTGAAAAGCTCCTCTGGTGTCACGAGGCGAATTACGCTTTTTTAAAAATTATTTTCTTTTACTACTGAGACCAATTGCAGTGAGTTTGCTGCACATCACATGTCCTGGGGCACATCGCCTCGCACTCGCAGTTTCCGCCTCCACAGGGCTCATACACACACCTTACTAAATCGGAAAGGCTGTAATTTATAAATAGGATCGAGCTGTGCCGCCTCCGCGAAGGAGTGAGGGCGTATATAAGGCAGGAGCTCCTCACGCCATGACAGCCTTTGATATGTACTGTAACAACACCAACGGTGAGGTCTCTTGCCTGTTGCCTACCCGTCTTCACACACACACACACACACTTGCATAGTCATACTCAATTATGTTGCATTTTACCACGCTTTGTCATGCAACGCGAATACCAACATGACTTATTTGATTTTGTTCCTTCTCCTTTCTTCCGTTTAGTTCTTACCGAGAGCCTCTTCATATTCCTCAACAGTTTTCCTCCTGGAACTTATCTGGAGGAAACTCTTGATCAACCTCTGGATCTTTCTATCAAACGCGCCTCCGATTATCATGATAGTGACTCAAATAGCAACAGTAGCAATAGCAGTGACAGTAGCTATGGCAATGAGGACCGCGTTGATGAAGAGTCAGAGAGGGCTGAGGATTTGCGCCTCTACAATCTTTTGCGTGAAAATACAAGCATTAATGGTGGGTTTTCAAAAACTTTCCTTCCTTTAATTGCGATTCTCTGCAAGCCGTACTATGCATCTGCTTGCTTTGGACAGAAATGCATCTGAAGAATCGAAACACACCTGTTCTGTGGCAATTCCTCCTAATGTGTCTTGGCAGCAGGCAGTGCAATCCGAGTCTGATTGAGTGGATCTCGAGAGAGACTGCCACCTTCAAATTGACGAATGTCAACGCTCTGGCAAACCTCTGGGGTCAGATTAAAAAGCGACCAAGGATGAATGCTGATCACTTCAAGCGCTCTTTGAGGTACTTACGTTCGCCTTCAACACTTACTTTCATCTTATGCCTCCGCCTACTCATCATTGTAATGCTCTTTTTTCTCTCTTTTACAATCAGATCTTACTATTCCCGGAATATATTAAGGCGAATTGAAGGCTACCCAGACACCTACCAATTCATTATGTGACTCCTCTGCGTCTGCAGCTCATCTTAAGCGAGCATTTAATACTCAGAGACAAGTGATCACTCCTTTACGGCTTTTATATCCATTTTTCACCTTTTTTACTTCCATATTTGTTATTTTCGATTACTTTGATAGAACTTAAAAATTTGATATGTACGTATTGAATAAACGGTATTCACTCATGTTTCTTTCCGCAGTCCTTCATATTTTCCATCAAGAATTTTGCACAACTTCTTAAAGTGAAGTAGCTACGATCAGTTGCAAAACCAGTCTTGCATCAGTCTATTGGTTTGAAGAATTGAAGGGTAGGAGTGAAACCACCTTAGTAGCCTAAAATAAAAGTATGCAAATTTTTTAAAAATCGGATCAGCGTTTGGGCTGCACGAAGCAAATTCTCAACAAATTCGATGGCCCCATCCATTATGAATATGTCATTGTAAAGTGTGGTGGCATCAAAACTTGGCTCACGCTCCATTGGTCAGAAGGTGCTACAAAACTGCCCTGGATGGAGCTGTGGATGGCGGATGGCATCACATGGCTATCGGAGAGCTTTCAAGCATTTGTGCACTTAGTGAGCACGGTATGGGGATTGTCAAATCGTGCCAGTGTCACCTCAAGTCACAACAACGTGGCTCCCTTTCAGTCCTGTTGATATTATTTCGCATAAAAATCAGCTTTGCTCCCTTCACGAACGTTGTCCGAATGGAAATAAGACCCACCCATCCTCGAGTGAACGCAGTCCTTAGGTAGGGCGCAAAATAAAGCAGACCATCGGTGTTGATAACAGGAGGGGAGGGGACATGAAAGTGTCAAGAAGGCGCATAAAATGAATGCGTCCACAGTGGCGTGGGAGGATTGAGGAAGTCACTTCATGATTAAAAATGGACACTTTAAAGACCTTCCCCTGGACTGTGCTCCCCTTTGCTTGCATTTACAGAAAAGCCTGAAAGTCTGGAGGCAAGTAACGAGTAGATGCTTGCATAAACACACGGCGTTAGCAACCGCGCGATAACTCCGCAATCAATAGGTCGGTGGTTAAACGAATGAAGTCGCAAAATCTTAACGCGCGTTAATAATTGCTTTTTTTCAACAAGGGATTGTGGGAATAAAACTGGCAGAGCAGAAGTGTGACTAGTGAGGTTAACCTGTCTCCCGTTTGGTGATGAGGTGACAGTGTCGTTTTGGCTGCTTAGACCGACAGACACAGCGGTTGCACCACCTAGGCATGGCCTTACCGCAGCAGTGCAATTGCATTAAATTGTTGGTTACAACAATTTTTCCTCAAAACAGTTGGTTTCACTTGACAACTGCAACCACTGCATCACCAGTAAGTTGCACCACTCGGTAAAATTACAACTCCAAAAATGAGTGTCACATTTGAGGCAAATATTTACTGAACAAAGCTAAATAATCTAAATCTTTAAATACACTCTTTTATGGTCTCCTTTTAAGCAATGGGCGAGTTACTTTACGCCTCACTAGAGCCGCTGAATTGGGTGGAGAACAACACGATCCTTAGGTTTACCGCCAAAATTCTCAATCGACTGGCTGCCGTGAAGCAGAATCCTGAAGACTAACACTAACTTGTGCTAAAGTCGCACAAACCTTCATTTACGTGCGAAAAATAAACTCTATATCTCAGTCACTTATGTGTTGAGGTCTCAATCAAGAGATGCATAGACGCAAACCCTAAAGGCATAATTTGTTCTTTTACTTAAGCTCCACTTTCTCCCATCCACGTCTTACCTTGGTTAATTGTTATGCGCAATGCAAATAAATTAACTTTGACTGCTGGCCTCGTTCGTGATCCTCGCAGCTAGTAAGGTGTTTGAAACTTCTCCAGTGCTCCAAATCTCGACCTAATGGGAAGAATTTCCTACCAAAATGGGTGGCATTGTAATAAGTGTTTTTTTTTTCAGAAGTGAAGAGTGGTATGAGGTTTGTCACTTCTATTAGACGCCATCACCATTTACAGGTTTGAGCAGTGGAATTGAAGTCCTGTGAATGGGTTGCCAATTTTAAACTGCTAGCAAAAGGCACCCAAAAGTCCCATTTTCCGTTACCATTGACAAAAGAACTCTCCCCGATTAGTCAACGCCACCCCACCACTTTTTAGAATTGTCAATGCAATCTACTCTTGAGGTAAATGCGCACGCTTGTGATTACGGACATTTGCATTTAGTCGGTCAATTAAACAAATGACCTGTAGAATTTGCAGCACAATAGGTTGTTCTGTCTCAAAAACAAAAGATTAAAGGTGCGGCAATTTGTTGCAAGGGAAGGGCGGTGTACGCTAAGGCGTTAACACAAATGTCGAGAGATGCCGTTTTACGGGTGGATAAATGCAAACTTATTTTGTCAAAAAGCGCTAATGGAAAATTATTCTCGAGGTCGCATGTCAGTGGCAGACAGGAATTGCTTTCCAGTGCTCCGATTGCACAAATATTTCATCAAAATTTGGTATGCGGAAGAGATGGAGAAGTGTTGCTTATTTCCCTCTTATTTCGGGGTAAATTTGAGGGCGAAATTTTGGATTCTTTCGTAGCATTTGGCTTTTAAAATATGTAAATTAAGGGAATCACATTTTTTTTAGGACATCAGCGCGTTGGCATCGTGGATGAGGCTTGAAGAAGAGCGCTATTAACGATGTCAACATCAGTGCGGAAGGGATTGTACAAAATATTAAATCAAATAGAGCTGTGCATATTCAGTAGTAGCAGTAGAAATGAATTTAGAAATTGACGGTTCGAGAGGTTTTTGATGTAGTTCAGATGGAATCGTTGGACCGTTGCGACGAGGGATTAGAAAATTGGAAATATTAGGTGGAATATTCTTGCACTTAACTTAATGAACAAATAAAAAGTAAAACATTTGAATGTGTGCAGTTGGACGGAAGACTCAACTCTACACACGGCCTTCGGCAAGATGTCCAGTGAAGGGACTTTTCCGTGCCCGATTAATCATATCGGCTAGTGAGCGCAAAGGCGTGACATTGGCGTGAATTGTTGTATGAAGGGGGTGAAAAGCCTCCTTGTCAAAAGCTTCCTTGTAAGAGTCACAGTGAGAGCATTATTGAATCATTACACACACACACACACGCACAGGAACAATTCATTTGTAATACCACAAGGGTAGTCGTTAATTTGATGCACACTAATGGGAAGGTATACGTCAAACGAATGGCGTCTAATGCCAGTGGAGTTGAAGTTGTAGGGCAACGATGCTTTAACTCCTGAAATATGAACTCTGCTGGTTTATACTACGACGCGGTAATGCACGGTTGTTGGCTCAATTGTTCTCTTCAATCTGAATCAGAGGTTGAGTTTAGGACTCGCCTCATTTCCCGCCCTATTTAATGCGCCCGTCTAGACGAGTTGGAGGAAGAGAGAAGGTCATGCCATCTAAGCGCAAATTTCAAAATTTAGCATTGAACTGCGCTTCATATTTACAAGTGAAAATTACTTCGTTACCTTGACACACACTAATTTTAATTGCATAAAATTTGCTCCGCAAAGGGAGACCTCTGATTCAGCGCGTATCGAAACGTCTCACAAACTGCTGCCGTGTCGATGATCTCTCACGATTGTGTACTTTACCTTGAGGCACAGGCACTAAAGCCATGTCTCAAAACGTGGTGAGAAAAAATGATTTGCAAGTAGTGGAGTTGGTATAGAAAAAATCCACTTGTGCAATCATACGACATCCGCTGTTACCAAAGTCTCCATTGCCAAAAACCGAGGCGATAGTGCTTTGCTCAAAATTTTGTTGAGATTGTACGAATTTCTAAATTGCCAAAGTATTTGGGCCAAAGCTAGCCACTAAGTTCATACTTTTTCCTTAAATATGAATTTTATCACCAACAGGCTTGGGAAGAATTTGCTTTTAATTAAATCTGCGTCACTCAACCTCATGCTAAATAATAGTTGTCCCATAGTACAGAGTGGTTCCATTCTTGCTATGAAACTTAGAAATAAGACGTTATGGTCGGGGTAAGGGAGGTGAGTATTTACAATCAAAAAGGGATTTTAGAAGTTGCTTGAATTTTTTACAACATTTATGTGTTTGGGGTGAAGACTCGACCAAAGTACTTGCGCATTCGTTATCATTAATAGACCTTCCAACAGACGCACAGCTCACCACTTCAGTGGAGTTGTGGTACTGTCACCCACTCTCTCACAAAGTGGTGCAATGGGGCTTCCATCCCAGAAGTCAATCAGATATGTCGGAAGCCACGCTGCCACAGGGTGTCTCTTTACACCTTCCACTTATTCTCACACACACGCACCGCAGGAAGTGGTAAGTAGTGTGATACCAGATAAGTGTGGCATGACTACCAACTGCAACTCTACTAGCCATGAAATTTGTTTCGTTAGTGCAAAAAAAAATTCACTGTGGGCTAAACCATCCACCAAAAAAAAGATTGCAGTCTCGACATGGACTTTGACAAATGGATAGAGATCAACTGCAGTTAAACTTACATTTACGCTAAAAGTCGAGATACGCCCGAATGCAATCGAAAGAGACCCTGACTTATTCCAAAACTTGCACAACACTACACTACATAGTCATTTTGCTCGATATATCTTTTCTCAAGACAAACGCTCCTCCATCACCAACGACTCATCCATTACACCGCGATGCCTATCAGAGAATTGTACCAACGCTAAATTAAAGCATCCTTTCGAAGCACATGAAAGCGCTAAAAAAATCTAAGGGAACAGGATATGCAAGGAGATGTTCGGTTCGATGAGAGGATGGCAGGAATGTGGGTGGAATTCAGTGCCTTTAAGCCAAAATTTGTGTTCACTTTCCGATCCTCCAGATGAAAAGCAATAATGTCCTTCCAAAGCACTGGAAAAGTGAACGAGTGGAACCCAAACCAAAAGTGTTATTCACTGGGCCGAATAAGTATGGAGAAAGTGGGGGCAAGACGTAAGTGTCACATGCATCCTCTTTGCGTAGACTGTTCCTCCTGTTCTCTTTCTGTAAGGAACGCTCGCCTTTTCCGAAAACAAAAATGAATGTGCTTGCGCAGTTCTACAATCTTGTAAAACATTGCTTTTAAAAATTTCCAACGAACAGAACTGAGGCCAGGAGAACATGGATGCCATAACTCGGTGCTGATGCGGCATAAATTACTTTGAAGCATATTCATTCGCACGAATCACTCTCTCCCGATTAGTCCAATTCTGGCGTTGGATGGGAAGAAAGTAATTCATGGAGTGATAGCGGCCACCCTAACCGACCAACAAATTTTATACAGGAGGCGCGGAAACATTCAGCGTTCGCTCTACTTCATTGCAGCAACCACCGCAATAACAGTGCGAATGCCTTTAGGGAGGGCAGATCGAG